TCCCTCAGCAACCCCAGGGTTCTTGGATGCCACTTTCTCAGTGAGCCTTCCTTGGCCCCCCTATTTCAAATGACTGTCCCCAGTGCCAGCACTCCTTTCCCTGCTTTATTTTTCATAGACATTTTTATCACCTGACATGCGTGCACATGCATGTGTGCGCGTGCGCACGCACACACACACACACACACACACACTCTATTGTCTTTTTCCCCCACTAGAGTGTGAATTTCAGGAGGACAAAGTTCAGTTCATTGAGGTATCCTCGGTGTCTAGAACCATGATGCCTGGGACACAGTAGGTATCAGTAAATATTTATCAAATAAGTGAATATATAAATAATGTTATTCTGGAGTAGACGATGTTTCCAAAAGCAAAGGGATACACAGAAGGTCTTGTAGTAACTCAGGAAATCAGGCCTGCTTTCCATAGTGTGGGGTTTTGGGTTTGTCTCTTTTAAAAGATGCGCTTATCTTTTTATCCTTCTCGTCATTGGGAATAATTAAATGTAATTGGCTTATTAAGGATGTCTGGAGAATAGGGCACAGGAAAGAAATCCATCTTTGGGGAACATAACAGTATGTTTCTGGTGAAGAAATTAAATATGTGGAGACAGTGAAGAAATATCTGGTGTTTATCTGTATTGCATGATCTGTTGTCATAAACATACATATGCAGGAAAGCTGCTCTGACAATTCTTGCTTTTGAAGTTGTTCCCCTCATGTTTGTTCTGCTCCTTCTCCCTAGTGTTTCCTCTGTATTCCTGTGCATAGCACTTCACATGCACCCAGGAGAAAAGAATCATTGCAGCGTGTGTGAAGTCCTGCACACGCCAGAGATTCATTTATAAAATACAGTCATGTTATAAATCTTAGCTGACAATCTAGTATTTGACAGAGAGAGAGAGAGAGAGAGAGAGAGAGAGAGAGAGAGAGAGAGATTGATTTTATAAGCATTTGGTTAAGCTAATTAAAATTTCTCATGAATATTCAGCCTGTATGATGTAATTGGGACAGTTTGAAGTGTTAAGACATGAATAAGACATATGCCACAGTGTGGTCCATTATTGGCAATCTCTTATTTTCCAGAGCAGATTTCAATGGCATTAGCTCCTCATGCAAAGGGGACACATTAGTCCCCTTATTTTCCTTGGAAGAAGTTCACTCTTGCCTCTCTCCTCTGGAGCCATACCCTTCCTTGCTCCCTGCACTCCTCCTCCACCCATCCTTTGGAGCACCCACCAGCTTTAGTCCCCAGCTTCCTGGCTCTCGGGTGGCCCTCATTGCAAGATCACTACATCCCACTTTCTTCTTTCCCGAAAGAGACAAAGCCTTCCCCTGTCCTCAGACTTCCCCTTCCTCCCTCATCCTTGGTTCACTGCTGGCTTTGCTACACATACTAGGAATGAACAAAATCATTTAACCAATTATTGGCAGTTTTCTTTACCAAGCATCCAATTTGTGATGAGGTTATCTGGAAAGATCAACCGGACCTAGAAGACTACATGAGAAGGCATTTTGGCATGAAAGAATATGAGCACCAGCACACTCAATGACATACCAGGCATGTTTTTAAGTGTATAACATGTATTAACTCCTTGACTCTTCAAACAACCTTATACAGTAGGTGCTATTGTTATCGCCCAACTTTATGTAGGAGGACAATGGCGGAGCTGAAGATTCTAATCAAGGCAATCAGACTCCAAAATGAATATCAAAGACCTGCCCCCAACTGGGAGTCAAGAGCTCACATTCCCTGCATTGTGTTTTTATCCACCCAAACTCAGCAACTACTACTCCAGTTATCTCTGCTTGGGGGACAATAATCCACTGTTTGGCATGGAAAAGTTTAATACATTTTAAGGCGGATTTTTCATTCCTAATTTTATTTCCTATCCATGGATGTTAAAATGAAATCTGCCCTCCCTAAAGCTCACCCTAGAAAATGACAGCTGGTCATGGTGAAAATGGAACTATCTGTCTGTTAACCTGGGTGGAGGTGCAGAGAGAGACCCTGGAAATGTTGGTCCATAAGGTGCGGAGGACAGTATGGGGGTTTTCCATTACAAATGAATCTACCCACCTGGGCCCATACACAGCAGACTTCCTCTTCCTGCTCAGAGCCACTGGAGGAAGGTCCCTGTTCTATTTATTTTCCAAGTACGGTTGCTATTCAATATTACTAGTATATTAGTTTTAGGTGCATAGCATAGTGATTACGTATAACTTACGAAGTGACTCTCCTGATCAGTTCAGTATCCACTAGCCCCTAACACAGTTATTATATTATTGACATTCTTTACATCTTCATGATTATTTTGTAACTCCCAATTTGTACTTCTTAATCGCTTCACCTTTTCACCTAGCCCTCCAAGCCCCCTTGCATCTGGCAACCGACAGCTTGCTCTTTGTTTCTATGAGTCTGTTTCTATTTTATTTTGTTCTTTAGATTCCACATATAAGTGAAACCATATAGTATTTGTCTTTTTCTATTTGACATATTTCACCTGGCACAATATACTCTAGGTCCATCCATGTTGTCACAAATGGCAAGGTTTCATTCTTTTTATGGCTGAATCATATTCCGTTGTATATATGTACCACAGCTTTAAACAATCATCTATTGATGGACATTTAGGTTGCTTCCATATCTTGACTATTGTGAATAGCATTACTATAAACATAGGGGTGCATTTATCTTTTCAATTTAGTGCTTTGGGTTTCTTCAGGTAAATGTCCAGAAATGGAATTGCTGGATCGTCAGGTGGTCCTATTTTTAATTTTTAAAGGAACCTCCATACTGTTTATTGTAGTGGCTGCAACAATTGGTCCTTGTTTGATGAGAAGGGAGGTGCTAATCTTCTTGGGGGCTTTCAGTTGACAGGGTCATTTTCTGCATGCCTTTGTTTACATCAGATTTGGTCCCTAAAGACTGTCCCAACCCACCCATCCTCCCTTCCATCTCCACCTCTGCCTAGATGACCTCTTCAATGAATATAACCTTCTGAATTTTCAAAGCCATCACAACAATGCAAGATCTAAAATCTATCAAAGCAGATACTTGCTATTCCAGAAACAACAGGAGTCCAGAAATGGGGTTTCAGTTGAGACTGCTGATTGAGGTCTATATTCCCTTCCTCTTCCTGGAACTCACAGGCCATCTCAAAGCGACAGGGGATCTTGGCCTCTCTTCACACATGGTGCTTGGTCTTGGCCTCAGCCATCTCAACCCAGCCCTGAGTCTGCTCTGGACTACTTCAAACCAAATTACATTGTTCAGGGGAGCCAGGAACCAAAGGTCAGCATTTCCATATCCACCCATCCCTGCCCTGGGTGGGCACATAGTAGGTACTCAGCAAATTTGTCTGGCTGAGATGTGCATCTCCCACTGAATTGGAATTTTTAAAAACCTGTTGCTTGGGGCCTTGATGACTAACACGTTGACTAGGAAATATTCCATCTTAAAGCAAGAAACAAGAAGTGAGAAACGCTGGTAGATCTATGCTGTACGCAAGAGGAGACAGTCAAGAGAGCAGGTCCATCTTCCTTCTTCGTGAGTCAATGCTGGATTATTTATGGCAAAGTCCCTGCTGGCAGAGTGTCCAGGCCTTTAGCTTTTCCTCTTTCAGACTATTTGTATCCATTAGCAGCTAATAGAGAGGGAAACCCCGGGCAGAAGGCCACACCCACAGGCGCCCTCTCTCCTGGTGATTGACAGCCCAACAGAAAGGAGGAACAGCTGGAATTAATGTTTAAGCTGTGGTTGAAAAAGTGGCTCATGAGGTTTCCATCTTCCTGCTTATCTGTTCCTACGACCACAGTCACCAGGAATTGGCTCCATTACTTTACTCTTGTGAATTGCAGAGAAGGTGGTGTTCTCTCCTGCTCTAGTTAGATCCCCTCTGAGGGATTTGTGGCGTCTGCCTGGGAGAATGAACTCTTCTTACCTTAGCAGTAAAGGCCGTGGGAGCCCAGTGCAGTAAGTGGAAAATTTCAAGGCGGCGGACGCCAGGGGTCCTTCTGTAGAATGGTGGCAGGGGAAGTGTCAGAGACAGAAATATGAAACTCTGGGCAGTGATAAAATAGTTTTAATGGGAGGCTTTCTGAAAGGACTTTTTCTTATGCTATCAAACAGCCCGTTTCCCTGCCTTGGGGTTTCTTGGGGGTGCCCTGGCTGAACCCTTAGCCCCACCAGATGCTAGGACGTTACTCTGACACTATGTTCAGCCCCTCCAGGGATCCAGAGTTGTGTCTTCACATCGGGAGGTGAGTTAGCTGGCAGTCAGTCCAAAATACACAGTGTCCCTGTGCGTGTCCAGGCAGGAGAGAGGGGGCAAGGGCTGCCCTTCCGATGTAGGATTGTTTCTCCATACGGGAAGGAAAGGGGGTAAATCACTTTGAAAAACTCAACTCTGACCTTTACAATGAAAACTAATAGATACTTTAGTATTATATACATGGCAGAGGGGCGAGGAAGTGGAGGGGAAATTGCACTTAATTACAGTAGTTTATAGTTTACACCCATTGGACAAATTTACTTCTTTAAAAGAAATCTCAAGATCAGTTGGGACGGGGGTGTGGGGGAGGGAGTGCTGATATTTACAGTGTGTTTGGCTCAGTTCAATATAGCACGTGTCCTCCTCTCCTCATTTCAGTAACAGATTCAAGTTTTCACATCGGTTTGTTCGATGAAGGAGCACAATGTAGACACTACAGCTTTCTCTCCTCCTCTTCCGTGGCTTCTTCTCCCACCTCTGGGTCGGATGGGAGGACCTGGCATCGTGGGAGAGGCATCGTGACAATACTGCATGGAAGGGAAGCTGCCTTCGGGCTGCGCCTCCTGAGAACGGATTGTCCGAGGTGCCAGCAGGATGTCAGGTAAGCAGAGACCTCTTGCAGGTGCTTGTCAGGCCACCGGGCTGTTCCGTGACAGCTGCCCGGAGAGTGATGGTGTGGAAAATAGGATCCTTGTTGCTGTGCACAAAGTTAAGTGATGTGTGGGTATCACCAGGCTTGGAGAGGACACTGCAGAGAGAAAGGATAGAGAGCTCAGCGGTGTGCGATGGGCAGGGGCAGGGGCCATTAGTTTGGCTTCTGTAGGGGAGTGGAGACCCAACTCGGTCAGCAAAGAGCTGGGAGTGGAGGGGCTGAGGACCAAGAGTCTGCTCAGTTCTGCGGTGCCGGTCCTGACGCATGTGTCCTTTAGCAAAACCTGCCAGCCAGCACTCCTGGGCACTTCAGAAGAGAGAGGTGAATTGCTGCAGACCTTGCAATAGTCATAACTCGCTGACCTTGTAATAGTCATAACTCGCTGACCTTTATCCTGAGCTTGGGCTCCTCTTTCTGGGAGAGCGGTGTTTACACAAGCTCAGTGTTGTTGCACCAGTGGCTGGATGGGCAGCTCTTGCCTCTCCTAGAAGTGAGACCTCCCAGAGCAGGGCCCCTGAGAACACTGGTTCCCAAACGTTAATGGACCTACGAGGACCAGAGAGCCCATTAACATGGGAGATTCTGATTCAGTGGGCCTAAGAACCTGCATTTCTAATCAGCTCCCCACAGTTGTGCTGATGCTGCTGATCTATTTTGAGCAACAAGGTCATAAAGCACATGAGAGAAACAGCACTTACTCCAGTGATTTATCAGGGAAGGAGCGTGGGAAACGGCAAAGTGTTCTCCAAGGCTCATCACTATCGGGGCAAGAAACGTAGGAGAGTTGGGGAAGAAATCCAAGAGCCAAAGGCTTCTGATGCCAGGCTTCCGGTAGGCTGGGGCGGTGGGGAGAGACCCCAGAATGGACAGGAAAAGCCTGCGCGAGGAGCCACACCTCCACCACTTTGCAGGCTCCTTTCCAGAGCCCTGGGCCTCATTCATTTCAGCTGCTGCCATGGAACCTCCTTCCTCTCCTTTTCCTTCCAAGGAGTCCTTTTTCTGTTTCTTGCTGTCTCCTCCTTCCCTTTCACCTGTGTTGGTATCTCAGGGGAAGGTTCTGCCTTTTGGCTTAACAGCTTATTCTCTCCAGACTCCCTCTCAGTCACACACACACATGCACCTACCAGGACCGGTACAGGCCTACGATCCCATTATCATTTCATTAATCAGTACTTGCAACCATAACCCGACATGAGGTTGCCAATCTGTCCATTTTACTGATTAGGAAATCAGGACTCAAGGAGAGTCGGTGAATTGTGTCAGATTTGAGAACTACAAGGGACTGGAGCCAGATTGGAATCCATTCTGAGGTTTGAATCGACGTGTTCTTTCTATGATGCGCTGATGTAAGGAGCCTTCGACTAGCTTTGAGCTCTTGGGTCAAGTTCCTCTCTCTGTGCCTCAGTTTCTTCACCTATAAAGCGGAGGCTGTTGAGGGATTAGATGAGCTGATACGCAGAAAGTACTCAGACTGGTGCTTGGCGTAACTGTTCTCATTAAGACTGCTGTACAAGGTGCCTCAGTCCACACTGCTCTGCGTGCCCTGCAGAGCAGGACGGAGCTGTACCTTTGTGTGACAAGGCAGGTTTCTGACCCTTTTACATTCTTGAGGCCCTGCTCAGGGTCCTCTGATACCCTTTCCCTGCTCTTCCTCCTTCCACCCACCCCCACTCTCTTTTACTTCCCACTATCAGCCTTTTTCCAATTTTCAGATTTCAGGTGGAGGAGAGAGAAAATGGCTTGTGACCTTGCAGGTTTCAATAGAAGAGCAAACAAGAGGGCAGATAAGGAGACGCCAGAGGGATTCTATGACCTGTCATTAGGGATGGGCTTTTCCAGCTATCAAATGTTTGCTCACATAATAAAATGGTGACAGGGCCCTAAATGTCGTCAAAGGAACTAGAGTTATTTGCCCCCTTGAGTCTAAACACAAACATCTGATAAGGGGGACCCTGTGGTCCCTCAGAACCGAGGCCCAGCACACGCAGCCCCACAGGGGGCCTTGCCCACAGGGTCTCTGAGCTACTGCAGAGCCCTCCTTCTGAAAGGGGCGGTGTGTCCGGGGACTGTTCAGGATGTCCTCCTCCTGAGAGGATTTGTTAATAGTGATAGCTAACATTTATGGCACCAAGCTAAGTAAGGGCTTTACACACATCATTGCACTGAGTTCTTACATCAGCCCTTTGAGGCAGGTAATTATCATTCATTCCTCTAGCACATGTGATTGCCTTCCACATGCTTAGTTAGCACTTTTTTTAGGCAAGGGGATGCAGCCCTGAACAAAACCCTGCTCACACCCTCACATCATTTTGGGGAAGGCTTTGAACAACAAACAAACAAGCAAATATACACCTTGTGGCCAGATTATTATGATCTCTGAACACATTATAATCTGGCCAATCAGTGTACATCCTCTACAATAAAAGGCTCATATGCAAATTGTCCTCTCGACCAGGAGTTTGACCAGCAGGCAGGCCCGCCAACTGCTCATGTCCCCTCCCTGTGGTCAGGCTGGCCGGACTCCACCCGTGCATGAATTCATGCACCGGGCCTCTAACACACACACACACACACACACACACACACACACACACACGGAGTGTCCAGATTTTTATGCATTCAGACAACATAATAATCTGGCCACTCACTGTACATATGTGTGTATAAAACTTTAGATGCAGATTAATACTTTGTAGAAAAATAAGCATGGTAAGAGAGAAAGGTGACTTAAGGAAAAGAGAATAATTTAGGGAGGGAGATCAAGATGGACTTCTTTGAGCTGCAGACATTTGAGCTTAACGAAGTGAGGGAGAGCAAGCAGGCACAGGTGCACATTAAGAGTGTTCCTGGCAGAAGATACCAGAATGCAGCGGCCTGCAGCGGGGCCACTTTGGCTCTGGTCCAGCCGAAGCTGAGGGAATGGGAGGAGGGGAAGGAGGTGAGAATGGTAGGGCCAGTTAACAGGCTGATCTCAAAGGGCTTGGAAGTTCTGGTTGCAAGGAGAAGCCATTGGCAAGTTTTGACAGGGGATTAACATGATTGATTTCCTTTTTTAAAAAAGAGGTAATTCTGGCTGCTGTGTGCTGAACAGATCATTCCCACAATAGGGGGAGAGGGGTTGGGCAAGAGTGAAAGTCAGGAGCCATGGCAGGAGGTCAGTGAGAGTCAAGGGGGTAGGGGTTGGGGAGGGGGGTGCAGGGGGCGGTGGAGGGAGCCTTAAACTGATGGGGTGGGAAGTAACCAGATTTAGGATGCATTTTGGAGTGTCCCTAGAAGAACTTATTGATGGACTGAAAGTAGGATGTGGAGAGAAGACTCAAGGAGACTCTCTGGCATCTCACCTGAACAACTGGTACCATTCTTGGAAATGGAGAAACCCAAGGAAGAAGCAATTCGGGTACAGAGAAATATGGGCAAAAGGATGAGCTGTTTTAGGCAGATTCGATTTGACAGGCTCGTCAGACATATGTATAGGCCAAAGTTGCACTGTGTTTGTGAATGGGAACTCAGGGGAAATGCACATGTATAGGCCAAAGTTGCACTGTGTTTGTGAATGGGAACTCAGGGGAAAGATCTGCACTGGAAGCAGAGTTATAAAATCCCTATACTTGACCTAAAGCCACTCGATTCATAGAGATCACCCAGGCGTGAACTAAGAAGAGAATGTAGCCTTGGGGCCCTCCAACAAGAGAATACTGGGAAGATGAATTGCCTGCTAAGGAAATGTGGAGAACCATACATGGGTAATGTCCCAAAATAAAGTGAAAAAAAGGAGTGATTGGCTGTGTCTTAGAAAGAAGATGGGCTACATATATACAATGGAATATTACTCAGCCATAAAAAGGAACAAAATCTTACACTTTGTGATAACATGGCATTATGCCAAGTGAAGTAAGTCAGAGAAGACAAATATCATATGACTTCACTTGCATGTGAATAGAAGCTCTTTCCATTTAAAATTCTCCTTTCTGAGTTTGAGAGGCTCTCAGGGTTGACATCCTAGGAAGCCTAGTTTGCCCCAGCGGCCATGGACTGGGCATTTCAGGTTAAGCACTGAGCTAAGTATTTTGCATTTAGTTATTTAAAAGATCCCACAAAAGAGGAATCATTATCTTCACATACAGATTAGGAAATTCAAGTTCAGATAGGCTAAGACTTTTCCGTGGGGTTACAGAGATAGAAACTGGTTGAGTCTTGAGCCTGGGTCTGCCTAACTCCCAAGTCAGTACTCTTAAAAAATATATATGATATTTATAGAAAGGAAGAGGGAGAGAGATATAGAAACATCAATGATGAAAAAAGAGAATCATCGATTGCCTCCTGCATGCCCCACACTGGGGATCAAGCCCACAACATGGGCATATGACCACGACCAGGAATTGAACCATGACCTTCTGGTTCATAGGCTGATGCTTAACCATTGAGCCACACTGGGCAGGCCCCGAGTCAGTATTCTTCAACTTCAGATTGTACTGCCTCACGGCCAGGGAAGACCGGCTGGGTGGAGAACAGCTGCAGGGGATTTATGATGAGGCTTCCCACCTTTCTTGTCTTCCCACCTTTCTTGTCAGCACCTTTCTTGTCAGCACCAGTGACCTCTCTATAAACTAGGAAGTGGAGCAGTGGGTAGAGAAGTTGTGGAAACAGGAGTCAGCTCGCAGCCTGCCCACACTTGTTCTAACTGAGGTCATGCTTGTTGTGGTCTTGTTTCCAGACTGGGAGGGTACTATTCTGCAGGAGCTCAGGCACAGACCCAGTCAGACAATAACTCGCCAGCACCCAAGGGTTGAGGACGAGAGGGCAGCATAGCTCTGGAAAGGGCAGATGGCAGAAGCTGCAGAAGGATTCCCAAGGACAAAGTTCTAGCGTGAAGTTCCCACCACATGACCCACAAGGCCCCAGGGCATGTCTATCTTGACAAGAGGAAATACTGGGTGGCACAGATATAAGTTCAAATTCTGGCTTTTAGCCTTATACCTACATAATCTTGGGTCATTTTTATGGGTGCTTAGAAATGGATATTGGAAGGGGAGTGTTGTTGAATGGATTTGGAGTGAGAAGACCAACATCTGGAGGTTCAGCTCCAGATTCATTATCCGTGTGAACTTGGCCAGATCCCTCCCCATCTTTGAACCTCAGATTTTTGCTCTGTAAATCAGACAGAAAATATCTACCTTGCAGAATGGGGGGGAGGGTTGCTCAGGAAAGGTTAAGATGAAAAAGCACCTAGTGTGCTGCTTAGAAATGCTAGTTTTGAGTTCATTCATTCTTTCATTCATATTTACTGAGTATCTACTATGGCCCAAGCATTTAGCTAAGCACAAAGGGCTTGGGGTGCTTTGAGAGGCCCCTGAACTATTTGTTTTTTCCTGTGAGGTAGATGAGGAGGCTTCTAGGTGTCAGCAGAAGAATGAGAAGGAGGGATCTGCAGCATGGTTCCAACAGGTGGTCCTAATCCTGGGAAATGTTATTGTCAGAACCAACTTTGACCACACGTAGACCAAGAAATTAGTTCAATATTTAAAGAGTGGATGGAAGGTGTCTCCTAAAGGGTCACAGAAAGGGAGGGAGTTACCACTTTGAGTACTGGACTATGTATCAGCCACTGTCTTAGGCACTTCTTTTGTTTTATAAAAATAATTTTTAAAATATATTTTTATTAATTTTAGAGAGGAAAGGAGGGAAGGAGGGAGGGAGGGAGAGGGAGAGGGAGAGGGAGAGGGAGAGGGAGAGGGAGAGGGAGAGGGAGAGGGAGAGGGAGAGGGAGAGGGAGAGGGAGAGAGAGAGAGAGAAACATCAATAATGAGAGAGAAACATCAATAATGAGAGAGAATCAATGACCGGCTACCTCCTGCACGCCTCCTACTGGGGATCAAGCCCCAAACCCAGGCATGTGCCTTGACCAGAATCAAACCCAGGACCCTTCAGTCCGCAGGCTGATGCTCTATCTACTGAGCCAAATCAGCTAGGGCCTCTTAGGCACTTTGACAATTCTGTGAGATGGGGTGGGATGTCCCCATAAGAGATGAAGAAACTGTTTCACAGCAGTGATTTAACTGCCCATGGTCATGTAGCAAGGGGCAGAAGGAGCTGGGATTAGCTCGGGTCTGTTGGCTTTTCAGGGTGCCTCTGAAGTAGTATTGCCCTAGCTATGTCCCTATGACTTGATTACTGAGGTGCACACTAATGGCCCTGTTCAATACATACATCAGCATCTGAAAGATTCTGGAAACCCTGCCTTGTGGAATTTAACTGTTTAGGCCAATCATTCCCCCAACATATTTAACCAAGGAATCCTCCTCTCCTCATTCTATGTGCCCCTGATTCCTATCAATGGTCTTGAAATCCCATTCAGAAAATACTTTAAAATAAATCAAAAAGAGATCTGCAACCAGGTCTCTTTTGGAATTCACTTTTGACTCTCTGCCTTTGGAACAGAATTTGTACATTCTTTCCTCACCCTGGGTTCCTTTACACTCATCCCACTTCATTCTGCTTTTCCCATTCCCTCTTCTTCATTTTGTAGGAAACGGTTGAAATATAATAGCTAAATGCTTGGGCGGTAGTAGATATTCCGTAAACATGAATGAATGAATGAAGGAATGAATTCAAAACTAGCATTTCTACTTTTTACTGTTCTTCCTAATTGTTAAAGACCACAGAGCAGTGACTAATGTGAGATTTTAAGGAAGGCAAGTGTTGTTTAAGTGGAAAGATTCCAGGATTGAGAGTCAAAGACCAAAGTCCAGAGATCCTGGTCTAGAATTGATCATCTGTGTGACCTTGGACAGAACACTTTTCATCTCTGAGTCTTAATTCATTTCTTTGTACTTCTTAGGTTTCAATAAAGAGAAAATGACAAGATGATTTTCATGAGCAGTATAAAAGTACTATATAGTTCAATCCTTACTAAATGTAATCATTATCCTCCCCATCCTGAAAGTGAGTCTGTCACCAGACGCCTGAAGTGTCTGGGGACGTGGAGATAACTTCACGGTAGTTCTAGAGGGACATGCACGCAAGCGTCAAGGTCGGCTGGCCACTCTGTCCAGTGAAGGGGAGAGGCCATTTGGGGGCTGGTACAGCGTCTCAGGGAGCATCTTGAAGCATTTTGATTAAGAGACCATTTCCTGAATTCAGAAGACTTGTTCCAACAAGCAAGCATCAAAGTCAACTTGGGAAAGACATAAATAATTAATCACAGTCCTGTCTAGGGCTGACCAAGCGGCAGATGGATTGATAAACCTTTCAAAGGGGAAGGTATTCCCAAGCGGGCCCGCTGCGCCTGGCTGCCCCCCTGATTGAGATTTGTGAGCACAGATAAATGTTTTCCCTGCTCGGTACAAAGAGTGGGAAATCGCACAGAGTCGAAGGGCAGGGCAGTTGTGTGGGGGGCTGTCCTTTCATCTTCCATTGGGTGAGAGAAGAGTAGCAAAGCAGGTCCCACACACCTCTGCCTTGCGCCCCAACTCCAGAGCCCAGCTGCGTAGGCGCTGTGTGTGTGTGTGTGTGTGTGTGTGTGTGTGTGTGTGTATGTGTGTGTGTGAGTATGCCCAAGACATGCCAGGCACTTAATCTGGGTGACCTCATTGAATCCCAGAATAAGTAGATGTTACAATCTTGTTTTAAAAATGAAAAAACAAAGGCTCAGGAAAGTCAAGATCACCAAGCAAGTGGTACAATCAGGAACGGAACTCTCCTGCTTTACAAGGCAGACCCAGGAGGACATGGGGGCACAGGGAAAAGCAGAGAACCTTGAGCCCATGAAAGAACCTGCTGGGAGCGCATGGTAGTGGATAAGGTGTGATTTCCAGAGCTCAGATGGAAATAACGATGATCAACAAGACCAAACCCCGCTGAGAGCCTCTGACATGAAGTTCAAGGTTGTCGTCTGCTTATCTAGTAATCAATAAAGGCTAAACAGTTCCCACACGGCGTAGAGCCCAGCCACTAAAAGGCCTATTGTATTCTTCTGGAGTTGTCGTCCGTGTTCAGACTTCTTGTCCTATTTTCTAGCTCTCAGTGCCCCTGACAGTCCAGCTGCCCAAGCTCAGGACGAGCCTCGCTGTTGGTTGTCTTTACCACCTCGTCACCTCTATGTGGTCGTGGGAATTAGTCATCAACTGAAACGGTGACTAAGCCTCTGGATTCCCCACTTTCAGTGCAGCAGGAAGTTGATGCTAAGGTGTTTTTTTTTTTTGTATAAAACACCAAGTGAATGCAGGCCCCTACTACGGAGGGTGTCTACTACGGAATCCACATGGGTTGGTAGAATGGGTCATTCTCTAAGCTTACAGCATTCTAGGTCCAGTATGGGTACTGGACTGGAGAAATCAGCCTCAGGATTCCTGACTTACACTTTCTCCATCAACTAATTTGCGTGCAATCCTGAGCTCTCCCTGGAAATATCTTTTCCACGGATCACTGGCAATCCACTGGGAAAGAGTCAATCTCCATGACTCAAGACTCTGTGGATTCCAGGCTCCAGTGACTTATCAAGCTTCAGTCCTTATTTAGAGCTCTTGTTCGGGACACCAGGGGAACAATGAGCCTCTTTATAGCGTGTGGCCCAACTTCTTTGCCCTGTGACCTCTGCCATTCCTTTAGCGAATGGCAGAGAACCTCAGAAGGACCAGACTTGTGGCCGAGTCCAAACTTGCCACACTCCACACATCAATCATCTCAGTCATCCCCCCACCCCCTTTCCCAATGGCATTACCTGTTTACTGGAAGACATGTTGGTGAGCGTACTGATGCTGCTGGTATCTGTGACCACCATCGCAGATGGAAACCGGGAGGTGTGGGAATACTGGGGAGGTTCCTGCTTGTGTGTGTACACTGGAGAGAGAGAGAGAGAGAGAGAGAGTAAAGACAAAATCAAGGTGCCGATCACTCAGGCGTATGCACATCCCACACTATCCTTAACCAAGTTACTTAGCCTCAGTTTCCTGCTGGCAGAATGGGAACGATATCTGTTATAGGATTAGAAGAGATCATATTTAAAGCACTTTGTATCAAATAAACAGAGAGCCTTGCACACAGAGTGCCTACTGTGTAATGGTGGACAGAACTTCTGTGGTGGGAACACTTCTGTTAGATGCCTGAGTGCCACCAAGCGATCCTTAGGCATATGTGGTACATCTGGGATTTTAAGGCAAAAAAGTTCTAAGTAACTGGAAAACTGCCAGAACTCAAGTACCAGGTTTCATGCTAGCAATCGTAGATTAATTAAAAATTATAATTGACATGGCATAATTAATTAATTCTGGGCTTTCCAGTGTACACTAAATGCCTTCTGACATTTAATCACACACACACACAACACCTCTGTGACACCCCAGAAATATGAAGGATTAGACAAAAGGAGACTAGAATCTAATAAGACCTCCAGGTACATGTGGCTCCCTTTTTAGTGTTTTTAGTTCTTGTTCACCAAGTCTGAAACCTTTTGATTCACACTAGTTATGACTCCATAAGATTTATGTAAATTCTAGGCCATGTGACCAGCTAATGAAAGCATGTGGACGCCTGGCCTTGAGGGAGGAACCAATGTGTTCTACCAAGGAGTCCTCTAAGTAGGGAACAGGGGTGAAGGTCACTGCCTGCTGCCTCAGCTTGCCCTTCCTGTGGAGGGAGGCTGGTTATTTCCTGGTCTGGAGCCCCACAGGCTAAATCTTCATAGTCAGCCAGGCCAGCCAAGCCTCAGCAGTTCATAGTTCACTGGTGATCACTCCCTGACTGTCCCACCCACCCAGGAAGCCATGGAGGAAGCCTGCCCAGGTGAGGGGCAGGGGCAAGTAGGGAGTATATTGCCAGGCCCAGAGAAGAAGGGAACTAGGGTACATGTGCTCCCAGACTCTGCTACAGGCTGCGGCAGATGTTTTCAAAGCCACGAAAACGTGATTGGAATGTGAGATGGTGCTTAGAAACCAGCTCCACAGGCCTGAGGGGGGAATAGAGCCCGGAGGATAGAAGGCTGAACTTGAGTGTCTCCCTCAGATCCACAGCTCAGTCTGTGGCAGTCAGGGGACAAACCAAAGTCCTCTTCCTCATTCCTGCCTCCTCCTATGAAGGAGTCCCTTAGTGAACAGTCACTGGTGTTTCTATATCTCTTGATGCTTACCACACACACTTCATAACTACTTCTATCTCCACAATCACTCTACACACATATTACTTCCGTTTTACGGGTGAAGAAATTGAGGCTCAGAGTGGCCAAGTAACATACCAATGGCCATATAGCTGGTATGTGTCAGAGCCCAGATTTAAATCTAAGGCTGTCTGACTCCACCACTCTATTCCAGAGACTTCTCTGATGTTCCTGTGGGGTCATGCCCAAAGCAGGGAAGCCATCCTTTCCCCCAGATTAGCAGGCCAGGGGCTATGCCCTAATCTAGCCGGAGGACTCGGGGCAGAGCTCAGGATGGAGGTGGGTGGAAAATAAGAGGCTGAAAGGTAGATTTAGGGTAGGTGTAGAAATTGGAGATGGGAAATAGCCGGGAAGGGGGTGGGGTGGGGCAGACACACTAACATTCCTAGTCCAGGAAGGCGTGCAGGTGGTATTTTCCACCTCTACTCGTGGTTTGTGATGCTTGGAGTGCAAACTGGAGGGCACGGGGACTCTAGGAGATTCTTCAATTCCAGGGAAGGCAAACAGGATGCAAATGATATGACAATTATAATCATTTGGGAACTGCTGCTGCTGGGACTTTTAGGTTGAAAAGGCAAATGTGGGGCTCGTTGGGAAAGGTGCTGAGGTGGACCGGTGACACCATGTGCGCGTGCCCCACACTATCCCTGCTCTCTATTTCCACCTCCCTCACAGGCTTCCGCGGGCCTCTTCAGACCCTCCGGAGACTCCTGAGGGCAGCGTAGAGGAATCGAAAAGGCACAGCACCACCCAAGGGTTGGGCTTCAAAAACTGTCTTGGTGGATCGTAGGTAGGAAAAAGGGAGCAAACTGACAAACTTCGGAGAAACTCCAGAGTCAGAGAGGGAAAGGGTTGGCTGCTGAGGTGCCCCCTGGGTTCCTCCCCAACACACCCGCGTCCTTACTGTGTGAGTTCTGCAGCTGAGTCACGGCAGCCATGAAGGGCTGCTGGGCCATGTGGCTGCCTGGGCTCTGCTGCATGAGGGGCTGCTGGTGGGGGCTGTGCAGCTGCTGGGAGAACTGCACCGGCTGCAGGGCTGCCAGGTTGCCGGCCACGCTGTTGATGACGGGGACGCTCTGCGCTTGGGAGGTGTTGAGGCCTGTGGGGAGGAAGAGGGAAAGGTCAGAGGTGGCTTCAGGGATGAGGAGAGGTAAATGGACGGCACAGGCCATCCACTAAGCCCCTGCTGTGTGTCAGCCGGTGACACAGAGACTGCATAGGAAGCTGTTTTATAGGCTCATATTCCAGACAATAACACTGAGGCTTAAAGAGACGAAGGGACTTGCTCAAACTCCACAGGGAGTTGTAGATGGAAATGGGCTTTAAACAGATCTGACTGGGGCTGAAGAGTCTCCCCCAAAGTCAAACGACCTCCCAAACTTCCCTCCCTTGAGGTTGCCAGGGCCCTGGGAAAGCTGACCCTACTGGCTCCCTCAATCCATGCCTGCCTCTGGGAGACATTCTCCCAGTGATGCCCTCAGGGCAGAGATAAAGGCAGCCTCTGAAGGACAGTTATTGCCAAGATCTGTCTGCCCAGCAGAGGGCAGGAGTGTGCAGGGACACACATTTTGGTAAACACACACACACACACACACACACACACACACATACACACACATACACACACACACACACACACACACACACACCACCTCTGCAGTCCTGAGAATCTGAAGACACTCATTTAGTAGCTTTGTGTAAAGATCCTGGGAGAAGCTAGGTGTTCATTCTCTTGATTGTAGCAAAGAGGGGGGAAAACTCTGGAACTTAGCCTGTCTATGAAGTGGGCATATCTTATCTGGTAACACCAGGGCTTGTGGCATCATAAAGAGCAGGGAGGAGGAAATAGTAAATTGAAGGTTGGTGGTTGTAGTGGTTCTTGCCATCTTTCTGATCTGGGGGTATGAGAATCTCTGGGTATGAGAACCTCATATCCTGAGGCCTCTCTAGAACTGGGGTGGGCACTGCAAAGTTTGGGTCCCTGGTACCCACCTGCCATCTCTTCCCTGCACAAGACTCTTGGGAAGGCAGCTGAGGTGGTTGGGAGTGGGGACAAGAGTGGAAAGACACCCAATCTCTTTCCTAGACCTACCGATGTTCCTTTGACCTTGCCTTTTGGGAAGTGGGAGGAAGGGGAGAGTAAAATAAAGAAGGAAATCCAGGAAAAGGTCTCTTAGTAAATGTGGTTGGAACACCTACAGATCCTTTCCTTAAATGGATAAGTTTTATAAGCAGATCTGTAGGAAGTCCTCCATGGAGATAGCACAAAGACCTCAACAATTGCCTACTCAGAGCTTTAGCTGATATTGTTATCAGGAAAATAAAAGGTAAGTGAAGGGGGAGTAAGCCCCTTCCTTGCCCCCCTGGGTGGGGTCTGGGGTGGGGTCCTCAGATCATCCTCAGAATAGTCCTATCTCCACTTCCCCACAGGGGCTCTGTATCTCCCAAGCCAATGTCTCACCTGATATCCTGGTATTCTGTTTCCCTCTCCTACCTTCCACTGATGGTCTCAATCTCCTAAGAATCCCATAGACTTGCTGTTTCCCAAGAGCCCATTGTTGCTGCCTGTTGGGAAACCTCTGCCCAGAAAAGCAAATTATCCTGTGTAGAGTGGACGACATTTGAGGGCATGGTTCTGAAACCTGCCTGTGCTTTAGAATCATCTGGGTGAGCTTATGAAATATACATTCCTAGGCCCCACCCACGGCTTAATGAGTTAGAACCTTTAGTGGTGAGGCCCAGGAATCTTACTTTCAACACAGTCTGTGACCCTGATGTGCCTCAATTCCAGGATTGAGAGCCACTGATGTCATTCTAGCTCCCATGAAGGGTAACTCTTGGCCTTTTCATCTGTTTTCTGGGCACTAATTCCTGCTTATGAAGAAGCATGGTGTCTAGGCCAGTAGGCGAGTACAAAAGGAGGAATTGGGACTGCCACGTAATTTGTTAACACATTCTCCGTGGCCTCAGTGGTCCCCAGGCAGGACCCACATACTCAACAGGACATGAGCTAGCTAAAAGGAGTGCCTGCAACTAATTCTCCATCATGACGCTCCACAGATAGGACTACTGTTTCTCAGCCATGTTTTCTGGTGATCCTCACCGTCCTTCATGTGCCCTCCCACTCCAAGTACACACACACACACACACACACACACACACACACCTTACAGTCAATGTACACTCTGGTGTTGTCAGGCTGTGATAGGAGATTAACAATACTGTGAGAAGGTAGAGAAGCATGGATGAAGAAAATCAGGAGGAACTAAACTGAAAAATATGGGGCAGCTTCAGGGAGAATTTTAGTTCAGATAGTACCCAAGGGAAAAAAAATACACACACACACACACACACACACACAAAACTGTATCAGCCAAAGCATGACATGGGGAAAATGAAGATAAGAATGATGGTTTATATATATTTTTTTGCTGCAGAACCAAGCAGGTGGGATATCTTACCCATGGGCCTTTTAATCAAATCTTCTAGAAAGCAAGTCAGCTGATTCAGGTAGCCTATCTCCCTCTCAATGGCATTAGTATGGTTACCATACTTCTGGAGAGGGCCCAGTGAAAAGGCAGCACATTTAAACTAATTTATTATTTTTTTAAGTCATCAAAGGGCTTTCTCCATTCCCATTCCCATTTCCTCTGAGGGCTTTCTCCATTCCCCATTCCCTCCAAAATAAATGTGGAGTATACAAATTTCTGAGCAGCTAAGGATAAGGTGAGAGCCACACATACTCATTCAGATCATCTGTGTGCCTCCTGTGGGCCTCGGCCTGGTCTGCCCTTAAAAAGCATACGAAGTCATTCTCTTCAGAAGCGACCCAAGTTGCTATCCTGGCTAAAGGTGATTTAGGGAGAGTGGAGGGAAGGAGAGGAAAAGGCAGAAGAGGTGGCCAACTTGGGTACTTGTCACAAGGGAGGCCATGAGTCCAATGGGAAAGTCCCAGAAAGGAAGATGAGCCATGTGCCACCCTTAGATTTCTCCCAAGACTTCCCAGGAATACTTTCCAGAGTCACAGTGATGTCTTGGCCTGAGCTGTCATTATCCAGCTGAAAATACACTGAATACCAATCAAGGTTAAAACTCTCCCACAGGCACTCATGGATACAGCCTCTGTCTGCCCTCCCATGCCCTGAAATGGCCCATGTGGGATGGGCACAGGATCCCTGTGGAATATGAGCCTTCTGGAGCTGGAAGGACCTGACCCATCTCCCCATCTTCAAGACATGGGCGTCCAACCTACTTCTCCTTAAAACCCAGAGATGCTATGACTATTTCCCTTAGAGTTCACCTTGGGCCAAAGAGGTCGCATCTGATCACACAAATTTCATTTAGAAGGAAGCCCATCATGTATTGCTCCATCTTCACCAACACAAACATTAGACAACACCCTGGAGAATCTCCCACATACTTAGGGATAGACAAAAGTATAAACTACAGTATTATACTTACTCATCATGCCTTACAGACTGACAAGTATGTCTATGCACACTGTTACTGATCAGCAACCCATTTTACAGATTAGGAAACTGAACCTCACAACGATTCAATGATTGGAACCTGGAAGCACCAGCTGGTAAGCTGTGATCAAGTTTCAACTCCATCGCATAATTTTTTTTTCTTGTTTTAGGATAAACGATCCAAATATTGCTGAGGAGCGAGATAAAAAACTAAACAAGGTGAATCAAACCCACAAGTGGTGGATGAGTTTGAAGGGGGTCTTCTTTAGTCCTTTTTTTTTTTTTTTTTAACCAGGTTGACTCACTTCCCATGCTACTTCTCTGTGCCCCCCAAGTTTTCTGATCAAGAACAAGGCTTACTTTGTGCAATGGCCATGACTCCAGAGAGGGGTGTCATGATGAGGTTTTGAGATTGCTGGGGGTTATGGTGGGACAGGCTGTGGATATTCGTCAAGGTGCTGACGGGGGGCAAACCACCTCCTGAGACGGAGATCTGCTGGAAAGAAAAAACAAGAGTAGCATAAGTGGAATTAAAACTGCAAAGAGCAGTGTCCAAAATGATACCACTCAGCAATTCCTTAGCACGACTAATTAATGAATGAATTCATTCAATCACTCATTCACTCAATAACAATTATTAAGCACTTACTTCCAGGTGGGAACTGTTCTAAGTGCTGAAGATAAGAGCAGAAAAAAAAAAAAAAAAAGACAATAATCCCTTCCCTTATGGTGCTTCCATTTGTTGACGATCTTAAGAGTTACCAGCCTGCCTTACTGATTCTTCTGTCCATGAGTATTATATGTTTGTCACTTGCTCACTTCAGAAGTATCCTCTGTCCTGCTCTATGCCTTCTATGTTATTGGTGCTAAAGACATATGATGGCTAAAAAATAATAAATGAAGAAATATTCTGGGATTCCCCAGTGAGAGCAGGTTTTAGGGACCAGAGAGGAGCTCAGAAGCTCTCGCTGACTATAAGCTCTGCCACGCACTGCTCATTCATTAACTCACAAACCTCACCATAGTCCCATGAGGCAGACACTCCTGCCACTCCCATTTCACTGATGGAAAAACTAAGGCTCAGCATAGATATGCAAATTGCTTAAGATTCAACTACTAGTAAATGGTACATCTGATATTTAAGCTTGGGACTATCAGACTTTAGAACTCAAGTTTTTATCTTTTATATAGAGCTTTTCCCCCACCCCTGTATCTATTACTAAGGGTTGGGGAAGATCAGCTATTATCGAGCTTCTCTACTTTTTCAAATCTCCACTATGCATTAGAATTTTCTTTTGTCAAGTAGCTGATATTGTATTGCTAGATGAGCTGTGGGCCTCAGGTATAAACATTCTCTTTTACCATTACATTCTAGTGGCAGATTAGTAAGAAAAAGTTAATGGCATTTATGTGTTAACTTCATACACGGCCACTCTGAATCTTTTTCTTGACAACTGATTCCTTTTATTTGTTCCTAAAAGTGTCTTTTCCATTTTGATTCTTTTCATTTCGAAGTGTATAATGGTATCATAAGCATATAATGCTGATAGGGTCTCTTATGTGCTAGTACTAATATGTGTACATGTCATATTGCATTGGTTGGTATTAAATAATAACAGCTGTAATCGATGTACTTGCTGTGATTCTGATGTTACCAGAAATGCTTCCAATGTTTTCCCATTAATTATAAGAAACTATCAGTTACACATACACACTCTCTTTTTTTCATGACAAACCAGACTACAATGTACAGTTTTAACATAATTTTTAAAAATTATTAAGACATCCCCCCTCATTCTGAATTAATCCAGACATTCTGGATGGCATCAGGAATCCTGAGAGGTGCTTTAGGGTTAGGATACACACATCGGATGTAGTCTAGTTTTTCTTCTATCTCTTGTTACCCAGAACAGCTCGGATGATAGGTCTCCCACCAGCACCGAGGTAAGATACCATCTCCCTCCTCTCCTGCCCTTCTAATCAGCCCCATAGCTTCCAAGGTTAATTTGAAAAAGAAAGAAAGAAAAAACCAAACAGGTTTGTTTGTGTTTTCAAAATGAGCATCAAGAAGTGAGTTAGGGGTCATGTGACCAAGAAGGAATTCCAGCCACATCAAACAAGAGAAAACCAGCCTGTTCGCTGGACTTGTTTTTCAAAATGTCAGAGTCATTAAAAAAAAAAAAAAAAAAAAAAAAAAAGTCAGTAATGTGCCTTCAGACTTTCCTTGGGTAATGCAATCCTGCAGAAAAAGTCAAAGAAGTGACCGTGATCTCTGCCAGTTCTTGGGTTTAGTGGTGAAAGAGAAACGTGGGTGCCAATGATACAAACAACGTAAACGTGGATGGCTGTAGAATTCGTAAAGTGCTTTCACTGACTGTCCTGGAGAGATACTGACACCAAGAGGGAAGGCATTATGATGATTGCCCTTATGTTCCAGATTAAGAAAATGATCTTCAAAGAATTGAGAAACTAGTTTATGTCATTTGACTAGTAATCGAGGAAGCCAGAATCCAAACCCAGTTTTGCTGGAGTTTAAATCACACCCACTTACTATGTCTGAGTAATCTTGGTCAAATTCCTTCCTACTCTAAAATGCAACCATTATTTTCCTCCCTCCCTCCCTCCCTCCCTCCCTCCCTCCCTCCCTCCCTCCCTCCCTCCCTCCCTCCCTCCCTCCCTTCCTCCTGAGTGTTAGGGAAGGGGTGAGACACAGAGAGAAAAGCATTAATTTGAGAGAGACACATTGATTGGTTGCCTCGGCTGGGATGAAGCCTGCAACTGTGGTACGTGCCCTTGACCAGAATCAAACCTGGGACCCTTCAGTTCTCAGGCCCACACTCTATCCACTGAGCCAAACCGGCTAGGGCTGCAACCATTATTTTTTATTTGCCTCCAGAACAAATGGAAGCCAGGGGGTTGCTGAGGATATCAGTCATGATCCTTACATGATAATTCAGAGAACTTGAATTAAGGCTGCCAAGTGCAGTCCTTTCACTATGCCAGTTGCTCTATCTGCCTACAACCTAGGAGGTCGGTATTATTCTCCCTACTTGCACACGAATGTGCCCAAGTGGTAGAGTTGGCATTGAAAGCAACTACCTGACTCCGAGGCCCGAGCTTTTCGCCATTAGGTCACACTGCTTTGATGCTGTGAAAATAGCCAGTACATGCTTTAAAAAAAAAAAAAAAAAAAAAAAAAAAAAAACAAGGTTCAACATGCACAGACTGCAACCCTGGCCCTGGCCAGCTTTGTCAACGCATGCCATCTGGGCAGGGATGGGGCACAGAGAGTACAAAACGAAGCGCAAATGGATCAGCATTATTTCCAAAACCAATATCTGGAGGAAGACTGCAAATGCAAGTCCTACTGAAAGCACACATTCCTTGTACAGGCCTTACCCAAAGAACAGCGGAGCGATAAACCATTCTCATACCCAGGTCCCCTTTTTCCCCCCTTCATTTTACAGATGAAACTGAAGTTGAACAATACCCATCCTATTGCTGATAAATAACAGAGCCCAAGATTTGGGCACACTGGTCGTCCTGCCTGAATTATTGTTGCCTTGGTGGACCAAGATCTGTTAGATATTAACAGAAAACAGACTCTTGGATGAACGTTTCCAATAATAGTGACGTAACATATGAGCCAGGATGTTGGGAGACTGGTGAAAAGCTGGTTCCTGCACACAAGCTTCCAGGTGTTTGCCAAGGCTGAGGTGTGCTGTCTTGGTCAGTCGTCAATCCAAGAATGTACTGCCCATCAGGGCACTGTCAAGCAGAACAGCAAAAAGAGTGTCTGCAGCTGCGCTTGGGGTAGCCCTGCCTGGGTGAGGCAGCTGCCTCTTAGGAGGTAGAGGGGAAGGGCTCAAAGGGAAACTCCAAGGAAAACATCCACTGAGAAGTCAAGACCTTTCTTCCACAAGGCCCCTTCTCCAAGGAAGCCTGGGTAATCCCTACGTGTTTGGGTCTCAAAGTGACTCTTGAGAACTCATCAAGACTTGCCTGTGCCTCTCACAAGGTAGCCGAGACAAAGTGGTCTTCATGGGGAAGCTGAAGGGAAAAGGGGGAGCCAGGAGGCTGCAAAACGCCTCCCCCAGGGCCCCCCTTTCCCTTATTTTGCAGACGCCCCACCAGGGAGATCAGCTCGGGTGCCCTGAAACCAGAGTTGACCAGGCCAGCTCTCTCCTCAGAAACTACACTTTGTTTTCCCTCCGGGGAGCTGGGACTCAATCACCTGTGACTCACCATTCCTGTGTTGCCCATACAGCACACACGTCAAGGTCTAAAATGGCATCTGCTCCCTGGCGCTTCCCCCCACTCCGGCCTCCACCGCCTCTGGGTCAGACACCTTGAGGGAATGCGTCCAGCTCCACCTTGAGCATAGAAGCCAGGAACCTGCCCCCCTCCCCCCTCGCTCTGCCTGAAACACAGAGCATGACCAAAGACTAAAGTTTTCCATTTTCTACCCTTACCGATGTCGTAATGCCTGTGTTTGCTCATGGGCCGCTCTCCCCTGTAATTGTGCTGCTAGAGGATTCGAACCTTGAAAATTCAAACTCAGAGAGTCCATTCCTCACCAAGTGTGCTTAACTTACATCTGGGCATGGACTGTGGTTATGGATACAGAAAACGTCATTCAAAGAGAATAACACTGATGTTAACATAACAATAATACTGTCACTCCCCCTCCCCACCTTTAAATATGTTTTTACTGATTTCAGGGAGGAAGGGAGAAGGTGAGAGAGAGAAACATCAATGATGAGAGAGATTCATTGATCAGCTGGCTCTTGCACGCCCTGTATTGAGGATCGAGCCTGCAACCCTGGCATGTGCCCTGACGGGGAATGGAACTGTGACCTCCCTGGTCATAGGTCAACGCTCAACTACTGAGCTCACCAGCTGGGCAACACTGTCGCTTATTGAATATTTACCTTACCAAACACTGTGCTGAGCACTTCCCATGTTATCGCCTTTGTCTCTTCAGTAGCCCTGTTGTTATTACCTCCATTTTATAGATGAGAAAGAGACCTGGAGTGGCTCAGTAACCTGCTCCTGGCTCTGCAGCTATTAAGTGCTGGAACTGGGATTTGAATTGTCACTGTAACTTCAAAGTCAGTGCTTCTCACCCACCCTGTAAGCACTGCCCCACCCCATGTGCCATTCTGTGCCAGATCGTCACTAGCATGCCATCCAATGCTCTTCAAAATCCCTGTTCAAGAAGGCTCTCCCCGCCTGCCATCCACTAAATCCTGACTTAATTAGTCTCCTGGCCAGCACCAGTGTTTGGTGAAGAGAAAAAGCGAGGCCCTCTCTGGGTTAGAAAAACTGGCTTGGGAGGCCTTGGGTTGGGGGTGGTGGTGAATGAACATTTTATCAACACAAATGTCATTGGCAGCTCCAAAGCAAACAGTGTCCCACCCGGCCTGCTCCTTTATGAGGCATTCGATCAATAAAATGAGAGCAGAGCTCTGTCAGATTTATTGGCTGGGTTCAAACCGAACACCTCTTCCACCCGCCAAAGGCTGGGTCACCCATTCTACCTTTCCATTCCGACTCTGGGCAGCCCCCATCTTCCCCAGTAGGGCTACAATGGTTCATTGTTTGAGGCAGGCCTTGTGAGAAGTTGTGTTTGTTTTGCCTCTTATCTTATCAGCTCCAGAGCTACAATGGCCCAGGTGTACTCACCATTTTACCATCAGGTGAGAGGAGATTGTGGCCTGGGTCCAAGCTGGCTGGAGAGACTTGCTGTAAAACAGACTGGCTGGTCACCATGGCGCTGTTGCCATGGTGACTGATTGTAGAGGAGGAAGTGACCTCATTGTTTCCCTGTTGGCTGTAGCGCACTCCTGCAAAACAAGGCAGACCCAACCGTGAACATTAGTGCCACCAGGGCCCCAGAATACTTAACTCCACTCCTCCCCTTGTTCTCAAGAGTGGATGACAAGAAAACAAAATTGCTTTCTTCTCCTCTGTCTACCCACAAGAAATATTGGCGGCCTTTTTCTAGGGGAAAGGCCTTTATTGGGTTTTGCAATGTAAGCTCCATGAGGGCAGGACATTTTGTTCATTGGTGCATCTCCAGCGGCTTGGCACTTGGTAGCACTTCAGTAAATACGTGTCAAGTGAATGGATTCTGCTTGTTGCTGCATTAGCATAGTTCTTTTAGGATTCAGGGTTTTTTCCTTCCTGGCTGGAATATTTTTTTTATTCTTCAAAATGCATCTCTCGGCTATGTGTGGTTGCAAAGTATGAGTTAACCTATTTGACAAAGAGGCACTCACCCAATGACCCTTGAAAGAGCCATAGCAAAATGCATCAGTCTCTGTGCACCACTGTTTTGGCTGAGCCCAAAAGGCCTGGAGGTTACAGGAAAAGCCGGACAGGGATGGGGCTGCAGCTAGGAATCTTTGGCTCTGGGACTCCCATTCCTTTGATGGGTCCCCTTTGGCTGACTTTCAGGGCACAGGGGCAGGCTGGGGGTTGGGGCAGCAGCACACACAGGTGGGATGTAGGTGCTTAGTAAGTACTGTGGTTTGGTCTGTAAGGGAGGGGAGAACCAAGCATGCTTGAATATAACCTTACTGCCCTGACCCACCCTCTTGCTCAGGAAAGGGAAGATGCTGGGTAGAGATCAGACAACTGAAGGAAGCAGAAGCTGGACAAAGAACCTGGGTAAGTTTGCAGAATCAAAGTCCTGCTTGATGTGCCCACTAGACAGCCAAAGACAAAGCTAATGTGGCTGGGCAGCTCACTCTAAGCTCAAAGCGTAGAGAGTGTTTTTGTGTTTTGCTTTGGGTTTGACAAAAAAAAAAAGGATTGGGGGACGCTGTTCTGCAAGGGAGGCAGACTGGATGTTCTAGGCATGAACTCATTTGGAGAGGTGGGCCAACTACTTGGCTGTACTTCTCCTTTTGCCCAGTTTCCCAAGATAAAACATAACTTTTTAAAGTATATTAATTCTAGTTATAAAGAACCATTGAACAGACTGTCAAACTATGGCAGGAAGGCATGGGAGGTTGGGGGGAGGGGCTGTAAGAGATCAACCGAAGGACTTGTATGCATGCATATGGACATAACCAATGGATACAAGACAACAGGGGGCAGGTGAAGGCATATGCTGGGGAGTAAGGGAGGCTGGGGGGAGGTCAAGGGGGAAAAAGGAGATATAAGTACTATTATTTGTAATGCTTCAAACAATAAAAATAAAAAATAAAGTATATTCTGCTTATCTGTCTCTCCCCCTCCCCCCCTCTGCTCCTTCCCAAAGAGGCTACAAAGTCCCCCAGAAGCCAGGTAAGCTGTCATAACCTGCAGCCTCCAGTCCACTAAGACAAAGCTTGCCAAGAGGGGACCCAAGTCAGTTTTCCTTGGATCCCCTAAAGGACACTATCCAAGGCTGATGTGGCCTGAAGCTTATGAGGGCTGGGAGAAGACAAGTAAGTGCTAAAGCAGGGCTCTAACCTTCAAGAGCAACTTGTTTGACTATCAAGTGGTTGAACGCACGCACTACGGGCTTCTACTATTGGTTGTTTTCCCCATCCTTTGATTCAAGGGGCTCTTAGTGGGGGCGGTGTTGACAGTGGGGCAGCACTAACATTCAGTAGCTATTGGTCTGGGCCTTTACACTTTTGGGGAATTAGGAGCCATGAAGTTAAAAGAAAGGAAGGCTTCCACATCTCCAAATCAGCACCCCCTGCCTAGTCCTGTCTGTCTTCCTTTGCGCTGACCTGAAACCCCCTGCTTTCCTATTTATCACCCTCTCCTTTGTCCCATTGGATTAAATTAGGTCCTTTTCTCCACTCCCATTAGCCCATAGTATTGTTATAGGGAAGAAGAAAGACCCGAAGCTTGTGAGTTCAGAAGTCAGAGCTATGTTCAACGGAAAAGAGGGAAGCAGATTTCAAATCGATGAAAGAAAGAATTTTTTAACGAGGAGGAGCGGTGGGAAGACTGTGGGCTATGGAGCTAGACAAACTCAGGTTCAAATCTTGACTTTGCTCTTAACATACGTGTAATCTTGGGAAATTTTTCTCTCTGTGCCTTATAGTTTCCTCTCATAAAATGGAGAGAATGCTTTCCTACTTTCATATTAGAGATATCACCTAGAAAGTTCCTAGCACAATGCTCAATAAATGGCAACCACTAAGGGAGATGCTGGGGGAAGGTGTTGGAATAGGAATACACCCCAAAATATGTGCCCAAAACTCAAGCATTCTAGACAACGTAAGGCAGGTTCTAAGCACTGAATGGAATTACCTATCCATGGAGAATAGTTTACAGAGCATCCAAACCTGGTGGACCACTGAGGCCCTCTGGTCCTCTCCTCTCCTTTTGGAGGAACTGGACTTCCCCTTGTCTTTCTCCTGCTTTCTCTGACTCCCCCACTAGCTATTTACCTCCCCAAGATGCTCTGCTCCTGAGAGAGTGGTGATAACACTGGGAGTCAGGTGTGCTTTCGCCCCCAGCCTGTCCCCATCATCGATTCAGTCTCAAGTCAAACAGACTCTGGTTTTAGCCTATTTAGTTTGGCTGAAGGAAGAGGGCCAGCCCGCTGATGATCAAATATGGGTCACTGGGAAGCTTCTCCCCTGCCACAGGCTACATGATTATTTATTTAAAAATAATTAACCAAAGATATGCACAGGAAACAAAAGCCTTCTTCACAAGGGAGTCTGGCAGGAGAGAGGCAAGGGCCATTTGTATAGCCCAAGGTTGCTGTGGTTTTCAAACATTGTCTTCTTCCCTAGCAGAGCTTCAGCATGTGAGAAATAAAACAGGGGACCTGCTCTGTTTGCACACGGATGGGCCTAGACCTTTGTACATTCCTTTAAAGACCTCTGGCTGACGGGTAGTGTCTGCGCATTAGGAATCCATGTTTTGATCTTCTCTCTGCCATCAATGTATTGGGGGAACTCTAGCTTCCTCATCTGTAAGCCAGAGGGCTTCCCACGGTGGGGAGAGGGCTATTTCACTGTAGAGTGTGGTGGGAACTAGACACGAGGCCATTCATCAGCTCTGCATTTACCTAAAACCCTTCCCACTGATGCTTTTCTCACCTGGAATTTAGTAATCACTCTGAGCCCTGTAATCAGCCAAGTGCCTGATTTGGGGAGGGGTTTGGCAGTGGAGGGTGTATCACAAGGCTGGTGCTCTTATTAAAGGAAGGAGAGGCCAGGTGCTTGTGTATTTCACAAACTCAGAAGAGGGCTTGAGATGAGAATGAAAGCAGAAGTCTCAGGAGCCAGGCAACCTGGGTTTAAACCTTGGCTCTACCACATAATAGCTGTGTGACCTTGGGGAAGTTACTTCACCTCCCTGAACTTCGGTTTCTTTACTGTTAACATTCACCCCTTAGCTTATTGGGAAGAAGACTGAGGAGTTAACGGATGTCAAAGAACCCAGGCCATGCTTGGCACATAGCAGTTGCTCAAGACACATCCGTTCCTCCTCCTTTGGAACTGTCTTTCTCTAAAGGACATTCTTAGAAAGGCTGATTTGAGCACATGCCAGGCACTGTGTTAAGAAGTGAAATGTCATCTTCCCTTTTCTTTCACTATTGTAAGCTCTGAAATTAAATATACTGTGTGGGCTCTGGTTTAATATTAACGGGCCAAAGATACCAGCTTAATAGCCCCAGAGGACCCACAGGAGAAATGACAAGGCCAGAAGGTGGCCATATACCCTCCACTCACTTCCTGGCTCAGGTCACCAATTGAGCACGTCCCCATCCCTGGCCCTATGAACCACAGCAGGTGTGTCCAGCAGCAGACGTCATCTCAGCTGGGATCTAAAGATATCCCAGAGGCCCCGGCGAGGTTACATACTTTCACCTGTTCCTAGTTCTCAGCATCATGGATAATGGTGCTATTCCCGAATTCCTGGAAGCATGTGGGACAGAGACAAATCATTTGCTTTTTCATATGGGCCCTCCATCCCTCACACAGGCCATGCCACCTCTGCCTCTGTGCCTTTGCTTATGCTGTTCCTCCTGCCTGGAAAGCTCTTCCCTTCTTTTCCATGTCACATCCTATAAGAGAGCTAAATGTCACCTCCTCTGGGAAGTTTTCCTTGATTCGTCCTGGTAGTTACCTGCTCCGTTCTGTGTATGGGAATGTAGTAGAGACTCTTAATGCTCTAATGATATCTTTACTTGTCTTCCCCTCTTAAAGGAAGAGATGGCTTTTACTCATTTTTGCATCCTCAGAGCCTACCAGAAGGCCTGAAACGGGGACTATTTATTGAATGAACCTTCAGCAACTTTGAGTATTCATGCCTCACAACAAGGAAACATCCCTTGGGCAGAAAGAGAAAATATAGTCAGTTCTGCAGTGAAGTTTGTACCGAAAGTGTGGATTTCTTTCACGTCTACTGATATATTAGAAAATAGTTTAACTGCAACATGAATTTCGCATTTGAAGAATTCAGACATCTGTATCCACCTGTATGGAGCTACACAGAAATACATTAAACACCCTTGTGTGCATAAGCGTACATACTGCCCCCCCACCCTCAAAAACATCTACTGCCCACCATCAGTTCACTGCATGTGCCATAAGCTGCATCTGTCCACATCTGGAGCCACAACTTTCCTTCCGATTTTCTGTCACACTTAGCCCACCGCTTCACAGTAGCTCACTAGTTGCAACCCTTCTGACACCCACATCCAGAGGCAAACTTCAGGACTTTTTCAAGACCAAGTGCCATATTTATTATCTCACAGCATTTATCTAGTCCTTAATCACTTAACAGGAGTAAAACCTTGCTGATGTTTTCTATTAGATTCTTATCTGTTTAAAAGGTGTCACTGATGGAGTTTTTTAAAAAAATATATATTTTATTGATTTTT